AGCCTGTCAGAGTTTCCTGCTGACCTCTTTTATGGGGTGCAGAATCAAGGCAGGATTATTTGAAGTCTCTGGAGTAAGAAGAATGCTGAATTCCATTTCCTGTCTGTTCCTTTGCTCCTTCTACTCCCTCTACGCAGGGACGCAACTTTCTCCAGAACCATTGTTAAAAATGGAAGGTTGGAGACATTCTAAAGTTGTAGAAAGCAGCTGGATTGAGAAGACTTCCTCCCAACAGCCTCCTTCCTCCTGGTCCCCCATGGAAAACGCACCCTTTCTCCCCTCTTTGCAAGAGAAGCTGCATTGCACATAGACTCCATCAGGGGGCTCCCTCTGCAAAGAGAAGGGAACAACGTGCACTTCAGCATTGGGCCACTGGAGGGCGGATCCCACAGGTGGCTTTCCAGAGGAGGGTGGGAAGGGAGTGACATCACTAGGTCTTGCCTCTCTAGGATGCTGCACTCCCTCTCTTTAACCCTTTGAGCTTCGCAGGAGGTAAAAGGGCTGCCGGAAAGTCTTGCAGGGAAAAGATCCAGACGTGACCCAGGGTGAGTGGGGGGGGGGGGAATCCCCGTGCAAAGGGAGGCAGAGGGTTCCAGCGCTGCAGAAAGAAGAGAGGCATGCCAAGTCCTCATCCAGGTTCAATCTTCTGAGTCCTGTGAGTGGGAGGGCCCAGATCCCATGTTCCCCTGCTGCCCATTTCCATGCAGGTAACAGACAAGGGGAAAAGCAGAGCTCCAGACCAGCCGTGTTGCCCCCAGGAACAAATCCAGGATCCCCTGGAAAGAAGAGGGGATCTGGGGGAGCCCTTCACGCCCCATTTCCTGGGAAAAGCCCCTGAGTGGGGGGAGAGGGAGAGTTTGCCTTGCAAATCTCAAGCAGGAAAGAAGAAAAGTTTTGCAAGGAAGGAGGTGCCAAAGATTGTACCTGCATTCTCACTATGTGCTGATGAGGCTAGAATAGGTTGGATCCTCTGCAGTTCAATGTGTCTTAGGAGGGTGAGTGAACCAGGACATCATTTTAAGCCACTTTCTTTCAAGCCATGTGTTTTATCTGAACTGAGCCCCTGTGGTTGGTGGATCTGTTTGGGCTTAGGGCAAGTTGTATGAACCTGCCTGCGTGTCATAGTGTGACTTGGGTTTTGAAAAGCAAACCCTGAAAAAAGGAAAATGGAATATCCAAGCCAGGGTCATTTCATTGGCATTTCATTTTATGTGAACTGAACTTTCATCGTTTCTTAACCTCTTTGGGGTTTGGCATGTTGTGTGAACCCTCCTTGTAGGTGAATGTAGAACTAGGTTTTCAAAAAGCAAGGCCTTCCTTGTGAGAAAAAAGAAATAGAAAATGCTCCAAAGTGCATTTATTGAGTATTCCATGTCCTTGATGGAAATCAATCCCGTATTTTGCACCACACACACACACACACACACACACACAGGATCTATCTGCTCAATGCCACCACAATTCTCTACCAGCTCAGAAAAATACTTCCTTCCATGGGGATGAGTGTTGTGCAATGGTTAAATTCACCACTTTTTAATTCTTGGAATTTCTTTTCTTTTCCATCTCAGATACACAAACTGGAAGCCATTTCTAAGTCCTCACATACAGACAAAATTATCTCTTGGCAAAGAGAGCTGAATGGCCTGCTGTGGTCATTCCTGCAGCTACAGGAACAGTCCTAAGAATTAAAAGGTGATTGGAGATCCACAAGATTCCTCAGACCCATTTGGAGTTGCATTACAGGACAGAGAAAGAATGGAGATACAACCTTTAGCAAGTGAGGGAACTGGAGACGAACCTCCTGCTGTTCAGCTTGGGAGCTGTGGAGAGATCTGGGCAAGAACTGGACAGGAGATCCTGGAAGAGGAAACCATCCATTCAGAAGTTCAGCACTGGAACTTCAGGAGCATCCAATACCAGGAGGCTGAGGGTCCCCGAGGACTTTGCAACCGACTCCACTACTTTTGTAGTCGATGGCTGAGACCAGAAAAGCACACAAAAGCGCAGCTGCTGGCCCTGGTTATTCTAGAGCAGTTCCTGGCTATTCTGCCCCCAATCATGAAGAG